CCTGCCCGCCTGCCCGCCTGCCTTCCTGCCTTCCTGCCTGCCTGCCCGCCTGCCCGCCTGCCTTCCTACATTCCTGCCTGCCTGCCTGCCTGTCTTCCTATGTGCCTGTCTTCCTACCTGCCTGCCTGCCTGCCTGCCTGCCTTTTTTTGGATGAAGTCTTGCTCTGTTGCCTAGGCTAGAGTGCAGTAGCATGATTTCGGCTCACTGCAACCTCCACCTCCCGGGTTCAAGCAGTTCTCCTGCCTAAGCCTCCTGAGTAGCTGGGATTACAGGCATTTGCCACTACACCCAGCTAATTTTTGTATTTTTAGTAGAGACGGGGTTTCACCCTGTTGGTCAGGCTGGTTTCCAACTCTTAACCTTGTGATCGATCTACCTGCGTTGGCCTCCCAAAGTGCTGTGATTATAGGCCACCATGCCCAGCCTCTTTAAAAAAAAATTGTTTAAAGTGTATTGATTTTTTTCTTTCAAATGACCATTATTATAAATATTTTTGTGACATTTGATACAGTCTGGCTGGACTATAATAGAACCAATGATGTATTCAACCCATCCATTTATATTTGATTCTATAGGCATATTTGTTGCACCAGGTCCTGGACTTTTTCCTCATCTTCACCACCCTCTATGGGATCAGTGTTCAGGCCTATTTTCAAGTATTATGTATGCCTTATAAACGTAATAGTCTTTTTTCCCTGAATTTAGTAATACCAGAAACCACTTAAAAATACGTATCCATCATTGAAACTACCGTTTGATTTATCAACAAATATTTGAGACTATTCTAAGCAAAGCATTTATTAATAATGCATTAGGCTGGGCATGGTGGCTCACGCCTGTAATCCCAACACTTTGGGAAGCCAACGCTGGTGGATCACCTGAGGTCAGTTCGAGACCAGCCTGGCCAACATGGTGAAACCCCATCTCTACTAAAATACAAAAATTAGCCAGTATGGTGGTGTACATTTGTAATCCCAGCTGCTTGGTAGGTTGAGGCAGGAGAATCACTTGAACCCAGGAGGTGGAAGTTGCAGTGAGCCAAGATCGTGCTACTGCACTCCAGCTTGGGCAACAGAGTAAGACTTTGTCTTTGGGAGAAAAAA